ATTTCTCATTCCGTATTTTATCTTCTGGGTAAACATTTTTATAATTTTATGGATGATACATGTTTTAGGTTAGCTTATAATCCTATTTCTTTTATTCTCATATTTACACACTTGATTTTATATATTTATATAGAAATTAAATGACAAAAAATTATACATTATAAAAGCCAACACCAATAATACACTATTAGTCTATAACAAATCAATATAAAAAAGATAAGTACAAAAAATACAAAAGAAATAAATTGAACGAAAAAAACAAAATAGATAAACATTAAATTAGTAAATCAAGGAAGATGATGAAAGCATGAGACATTAGTACGTTACATCCTGAATGGGTGATATGCCCCCAAAAGCTTACATGACGACATTTTTGTTCCAAAAATAACCTTAATGTCTAATGTGCTTCTTAGTCTAAACCTTGATGGTCAATATGCTCCTTCTCCCTTTAAATTACTATCACATCAATTCAGGTATAGTAGATGATAAAATGTCAAAAGGACCAGATAATTGTTTTGTGATATGTTTTTATAAAATCGTCAATATGCTGTTTGTGATATATTAATACTTTATATATAATTAATAAAATTAAAACTATTAATATTAAACTATATGTAGTTTAAAAATAAAAAAAAATCTCTTAATCGGGAAAAATTAAATGAAATAAAGGAATCGTAGAAAATTGGGAAAGTCTAGTAAAAGCTTTACAAAAGTAAAAATAAAATACTACAAAACTATTGAGGTTAATTCCCTTAGTTGGGAGATCCAACACGATACCTCCGGTGGGGGATCGTTTCAAGTATGGAAGAATAGGAATGCGTGAACACAATGTCGAGATGGATTTGGTCCCTCTTATTATATTAAAAAGGCCCTTACAATATACTCTGGAGCGGTGATTTTAATTAGTATACTGAACTACGATTTACCCATACTACACTGTTTGATTACAAGAAGCGAGTTTTCATGTTATTGTTGTTATACATATATTCAGTTACCGCTTTGTTATAGCAAATACGGGGGTATTTATACCACTTGCCTTGTATGGGACTACGGGCTATGATGACGTGTCGCCTCTAATAGGCCGGGGTGTCGTGTCATCCACAGGTTGGCCCATACTTTGTACGAAGTATTTAATATCTTGGATCCACTGTATCTTGCATTCAATGTTCTCCCATGTCTATAATCAAGTTTTCCGCCAATACTGTGGTGGAACCCTTAGATGCATTCAATGTTGGCATAGGACGAGGGAATGTCCGTCCCAATCCAGGGGGCGAGCATCCAGACGTTGGCTTAATGTTTCGTCCCGCCTTGGTTCTGTACCCCATATCGCTCGTTCAGTTATGGGGTGTACATCCTTGCTTTCGGGCAGTAGTTTAAGGGCTCGTGGCCCCTCTTTTACGGTCTTGGCTCGATAATTGGGCTTGGTCCCATTCGGCTCCCGCTCCTCCCTTCCCTGGATACCCTCTTGGTGGTGTACGTCCCCCAATGGTAAGGCTGTAAGCTACTTGTGGTGTTGGGCCGGGCCTATTGTTTGATGGGCCAATATCCCAATAAAAACTACTCGTATAAAATGAAAATGTTAAAAGAAATTAAATTAGTTAAACTGTACAAAGAAATTGAAAAAGGTTTTTAATGACTTTTTGTAATGTTATGTTTAAAATTAGCTAAAATATTTCATTATAATTATCATCTTCATTACATTAATATATTTGTTGCATAGGTGCATAGTGTTGTTGATGATGTTTAGTTTTCTAATTTGGAAGAGTAGCTCGCACACATGCCTATTTGGAGAACGAAAGGAAAAAGTGTATGTGTGAGCGGACCCAAAGATCGAGTTGCTTATGTCATGTGCGGACTATGGACACTAACATTTTCCTTTATTTTTCTATTTATAAATTATAATTTCCGTAACATCGCAGCCTAAGGTTGAAAGTGCAAAGATCGAAACCGAACCGACATTTCAGTTCTCTTAAAAATGAAAACCAAGTCTGAACCAAAAATAGATTGGGACCCGATTGTTTGAGAATCAACTTTTTTGTTCAGTTTTGGGTAAAAATCCGAAACATTTGAATTAAAATGAAATTCATAAATTAATACATGGATCATCAAAAATGAGCATGCATCACAAAAACGGAAAAACCACATCGAGAATTAAAAACAATCACATGTCAAAGTTGCTTGCAAATTAAATTAAAAACTTGTAGTCCTAAAAACAGTCATGAAAATTAAAAGATATTCTTAATGTCACAATTCTGCCATGACAAATGAGCAATGCAGTACACTACTTTCATCCATGCATTCATCTATTGAAGGTACGTAAATTTTGGGCCAGATTATGTATTTTAAATAGAGGGACATGGCCTTGACAAAATGTATAATAAAAAAAATGATTTTATTATATATTACGTACTACGTATTAATTATATAAAATCGGTGTGGTTCGGTTGAACCGACCTTTTGAATTTCAAAAACCGGTACTTAACTGAGGCAGACCCCGGTTATCGATTTTCGGATCCCAACTTTTTAGGTTCGGTTTGATCAGTTTTTTCCTTTGGCGGTTCGGTTTTTTCAGGCCGGTTTTCCGTTTTTCGGTTCAAAATGCCAGCCGTAAAAATGACATAAATAATATATATTTTTACACATTTTACAAAAATAATCCCTACTGAAAAAGTTCACAACAACAATCTCAACTCAATTACTATTTCACAAAAACAAGTGAAATGCTAATGGTGTTAACTTTTCCATTTTTTAATTTGAACATTCTAAAGCAAATATATATAACCATTAACAATATTATGATTGCTATCTTTGAGTTTAATTTTATTTATATTATAAATTTAATTTAATATTCAATATTTTTCATAAAACATAATAGAAATATTTGAACACTACATACTCATCAAGTATTCATCAAATAAAAGATAAGAGAATTTGTTAGTATGCAGTGGTCAAGTACAAAATGTTCTTGTCGTGTAAATATTTGTACGATGCATTTATATGTTATTTGTATTGCATATTAACGCTCAAAATGTTGTATATTATTCTGCAATGAAATAAGCAGTTACATATTAATGTTCAAGGTGCTGCATCCAAGAAAAAAATTGGTTTTATTACCAAAATACCACCGTGCATCTATAGCCTTTAGATTAACTCATCGGATGACCAAGATGAGTTTACGGTTTGTAAATTAAAAGATGTCTTTATTTGATCCCTTATATAGGGGCGGAGCCAGAAAAATGACTCAACGGGGTCGAAATCAAATTTACATAGAATCAAAACGGTAGATTACTTTTAGACAATACCCGAATTGAATGTAGCTTAGATAAATGATAATTTAAATGAAACTAATAGAGTATATGTGGTTAATATACTTCGTATATGTCACATATATTATCAACATGTTTTATACGGGTTGAGTACCTCGGATGAGACCCATTGTCTTACCATAGTACTCTATGGTTCTCTTCGATCTTACTCGGTTTAGTATCAAGATTTCTTACTAGAAAAGAATCATTTACTGAGTAGGCACTTGTAGCAATAAGATATGTTGTATTTTTTTGTCCCTAAGTCATGTCACATAAGTAATGAGTGAATTACACGCTATTTTGCGAATATAATTAATATTACGCATCACAATTTTACTAATTTCAAACTTAAATAGTGCTGATTTTGCAGAAGTCATAACTTTTTACTCGTAATGAATTACGAGAGCCATAATATGTCAAATCGAAGATATTTCAAAGCTCTACAATCTTTAATTTTCAGCGGGGTCAGCTGACCACCCTGACCCCCAGTAGCTCCGCCCCTGCTTATATATACATATATTCCGTATTTCACTGGTTGAGATTATTGTTGTGAACTTTTCCGTCATGATTAGTTTAGTAGAAAGTTCAGAAGCAAAGATCATTAGTGCAAGTTTCGCCTTTTTGTTTGGATCGGAGTAGTGTTAGGTTAACTATTTGATTCCTAAGAATTTTGTGGTCGGTTTGAAAGAGAAAAAACTTGGTAGTCGACCCTAAAATTAATGTCTCTTCAATATCTTTTTTATAATCAAATTCGTGTACACACTTCATTATTTCAATTATATCCTCTTATGTATTTAATTTTGTCTAAACTATTAACGCTTTAAAATGTTAGATTAGTAGTTTGTTAATTATTTATCTAAGTTTGTGAATCCTTCCAATACACAAATACTTAGTTATACTACGAAATAATATAATAAAGACATCTGTTAGTGATGCGTTGTTGAAGAATTGGATTAAAGGTACTTTGTTGAAAGGAATTAGTAGTGTGTGAATAATGAAGATGATGAGATTACTTATTTGAATATTTGAACTACATATGCACATTACTCATAGTTAAAAAGGTAAAGAGGGCAAAACAGTCTTTGGGGTCGTTTGGAAGATGGCTGATCAGCCAACATTTTGCTTGGTTGATTAGAAACATCTGATTAAATTGGTCAAAATGCTAAAACTAATGTTTGGTAATTAGCTGGTTTGTTTGGCTGATAGACACGAAGAAGCCAAAATGTGAAACACTAGAGAAGGAGCATTTTGAATGTAGCGATTATAGTTTTATCATTTTTCCCAAATATCATACTCTCTTCGATGATGAAAATTTAACAACCTCTTAATTTTCTTCTTCAAGCTTCAATTGAATGTAACAAATACTTCCTCCCTTCAAACAAATCCGGTTTTAGAATCTAGCCACTCGGGAGACGAACTACAAAGGCATGTCATATTTTTTCCCCAAATTTAGTTAAAAAATGTCTCACAAAAAATGACCAATTGAATGATGAAACGTTAACAATTACGGTGATATGATCAACCACGTACGTAACAAAATTACCCAAATTTGATTATTATTTTCATTTTTTTTTGTAATTACTTTTATAAAATGCAAATCAGATAGTATAGTCAAGTTACCAAACATGGTCTACATGCACCAATTATAATATTACAATTTGATAATTTAAACATAAACAAATGTGAAAATGATTACTTGCATGATGCATCAATTAAATATATGCATAATAGATAAAATACGGCTACTTTTTTTATGGGTACCGTAACACTCACTTTAATAAACGTAGAAGTGTCACTATTCATAAATAAAATGAAAGGCACAACTAGTAGGTATAGAGGATTATAGTGATATACGGAGTGTATACTTCTATTTGCACGGGTGGGAGTATCATTATTAAACCCAAAAAATGTGAGTAAATCACATTTTAGAGGAAATTAATAATGTTGATCTAGCTAGCTAGTAGTGGCGGAGCTAGACATTTAGGGTTAAAGGGGCTGGTCTTTAACAATTTTACATTGCAGGGACCAAAGTATAAAATATCAACATACTTTCTACAGATTAAAAGTATTTATACATAATATATACTTAAGATTTTTTTTCTTGCAGGGGCCGTGGCCACCTCCAACCCCTGTCTCCACCCTGTTAGCTAGGTCCCATCGGGTAAGGTAGCAACTCAAGTGAAGCAACCGTTGCGTTCCGTCCAGGATATGATTCGAGAAAACATGCAAAGTGCGCCCAATTAATACTTGTAAATCTCAAACCGTATTAATTACCAGTATTGTTATTCACCTTTAAAACCGATCAACTTTGTTAATCCGGATGTGATAGCCATGGCCAGCCACCCGCCGAGCAAAACCCTAGCGGCGGCTTTCACCCTGGGCGCACCGCCCAAAGCCGCCCCCAGCCACCCAAAACCCACCAGCGCCGCCGTGACCGCCGCAACCACCACACCCACCCTCACCTTGTAACCCGTTATGAACGACGCCGCCAGCAACGGCACCATGGCTCCCGCCACGAAAGCCACCACCGACGCCGCCGCCGCTTGCACGGGATTTGCCAAAACGACGCCGTCATGATCCTTATCCTCACCACCGTTCCCTTGTTCTTCCTCCTCCGGCTTTGTGTTCTTGTTTCTATTCAGTTGAGCAACTTCCATGTCGCGCTGGGAGTAGACGGAGACAAACTCTCCGATGGCCATGGAACATGCTCCGGCAACCATGCCGGCGAAGCCTGTAAGAATCATGGCTTTAATGTCTTGCTTTACGGCTCCGACACCCATCATCAGCGACGCCGTCGAAACTAAACCGTCGTTGGCACCAAGAACCGCTGCTCGGAGCCATGGCGCCCGTTTCGCGTAGTGAAACCCACCGGCGCCGGCGGCCATCTTCTTCTTCTTCTTCTCTTGTTGCTGCTCCATGTCATCACCATTATTAATATTATTGGCACTTTTGGGTTCTTCTTGGAATAATGCATGGTTGGAATCCATGTGATATGATTATTAGTAGCTTGACTATTGTTTATTTGTTTAGCTGTATACTACGTATATGATCATGCAAATCAAATCACACTACGTATTACATAGTATTTCGTGAATTAGCTAGCTGCCGAAATGGATATTTAGTGAATAAGGGGGGTTATTTATAGATTCATAAGAAATCATTTGGGGAATGTTTGGGATATATAAAGGTATTTGGAGGGGAGGATTTTTAAAAAATAATTGCTCCAAATTCCAAATAAGACTAATACACGAGAAAAACGCACAAATAGGAGTAGTTATGATTTATTTCCCAAAATAAGACTCATTTAGGTAATTAGGTTTAGGGTTATTGAAAGTATAAAATTACCCTAATTAAGTGTCACACTAAGGATGTTTTCTATTGGACTAAAATTTGTTGGTGTGGTCTAGCTGGTCTGGTCTGGTCTGAACTGGTCTGGTTTGGTAAATGTCTGGTTTTTGTGTATTTTATAACTACGAAAGTCAAGTCTGATCTGGTCTTGTCTGATCTGATCTGGTCTGGTGTGGGACTGAAAACAGTCCAAAAGAAAACATCCTTAAAAAACATATCCATGAGATTGACAGAGATTTTGGCACCAAAATTCATTGAGAATTTTGCAGGGAGATATGCCAAATGTGTGCCAAAAGCATTTTGGCACAAGCTAGTTGACTCAAAATCACCAGTCAATGTGTACCAAATCCGTGTCATAATTTTTTTGTAGTATGTGTGAATAAGTTAAGAAAACAGTTAATTCCGCGGTCACGGACGAGTGAAACAGCTTTATTAGAGGAAGATCATAATCTTGTGGGAGTTGTGGCAGCTTGATCAGCGTACACGACAGAGGCAGCGAGGGTAAAAGAGGCGATTAGTTGGGCATAGTAACATAGTTGGAGATGGTTCATAATTGAGATTGATGAGTTGCTAGTTATATCTAGACTTGCACGCAGAGGGCACAAGTAATTCATATTACGACCTGATTATTGAAGATATAAGACATTCTCTTCCTTGTGAAGCTAGTTTTAATGCCAATTTTTGCAAACAATTCTCGAATCAAGTAGCTCATACTTTGGCTATAGTTGTGATTTCGCAAATGAGTGATAATTCTTTTAATGTTATTCCAGAATGTATTTCTAACCTTTTGACGAACAATTGTTTAGATTAAGGTAGATTCTATGGTATCCAAAAGGTACCATACCTTTTTCCATTTGGACCAATCAGAATGTTGCAGTTGAATTATTTAAATCTAAATTATAAATGATTTAATGATTTAGACCAATCATATGAGTGGTAGGTACGATACCCCATTTTTTAAATGGATACCGGAGTTGTCACCTTAGATTAATACTCCGTATTAATTTGATAGTTTCCATTAAAAAAGAAATTAGTTCCGCGCGCGGCTTCCGCCAAACATACTCCGGTGATGAGTTAGCACCGAAAGTGTCCCTCCAAATGAAAGCAAAAGAGTTCAAATCCAATAATTTAGCACTGAAAACAGTCTTTAATATAATGTAAATGACTACACTAATTTCGGTTACAATAACTTACACACTCCTTGTAATTAAATGAATTGAAGTATTATAATCATGAGCTAGCTGCGTGGCTGCATGCATTGAACATAATAAGGCTTTTTTGGTGGGGTTGCTTCATCAACTAATTGCTTGTAAAGTTTGGATTATTCGTCTTTTCAGCTAAAAAACATGCTTGATTGAAGCGGGCTATCAGGATCAGATCATGCACACATTTACAACTTTATTTGGGATCTAATCTTGTTCGAAAAAAAGGTGCGCTGCTCCGATTAGTGTAAGCTTCAAGCAATAAGAACATCTCCAATGCAAAAATATGTATGTTGGACATGTGACACAGAGATAAATGCAAAATAATAAATCGCCCCCAATCCCCCATTACAAGAGAGATTGAAGGATTAGCACTACAGAGATCTCTTCTCATCAGGCGCTCCGCACGGAGGGCGCCGTTCGGACAAGGCTATTTGGGGCCCTTTCTAGTGAAAATTTATGATAAATTTTTTGAATGTTTTTCATCAAGTGTATATTCTCTTCTCAAACTTTCAGCTTAAAATTCAATCTAGAAGTTGGTTAGTTAAATAAATTATTGAAACATATTGCCCTTTATATATTTACATTAAAGCACAATATATTTCAATAATTTATTTAACTGATTTCCAGATTGTATTTTAAATTAAAATTTGGTGGAAACAGTATACACGTAATGAAGACATGTCAAAAAGTTTTATAAAAAAAGTTCACAGAAAAGGCCCCAATGGCCTTGGTCGGACGGAACGCAAGGGGAGATAACTTCTCTAATCTCTAGCATTGTATTACGTATATGACATCTTTATTTTGTTTGTGTGGGGTTGCAGTGGTGAGTGCATGTCGTGTCACCCCATTCATCTTCCTTTAAATTAACCCTTTAAATTATTGGCGACGATGCATTGACAACAACAATGGTAAAAAAAAATATAGCTTGAGACGTACTACTGTAGAAAATTAATGCAATTCAAAGACGTGAAGGAACGTCTCTAATCTAATTATTACGTACGTAAGCTTGCTTTAATATCTTTAGGCTAAAGTGCAAAACATTGCTTTAATTTGTTTGGACTGACTAACAAGGAGTGTGGACGACGTACGTACGTGTGGTGGTGCATGTACCCCATGATGCCCGGATCATTAGCAACTTAGCATGTACTCCATATATGCAAATGCAATGTTTTACTCGTATAATAATTTCCTTAGAAAATAACTTCAAAATTTATTTCATAAAATCTACACTAAAACTTATAACATTGATGTGCTTCTTTCTTTTCCTCCTAAGAAATATCATTCGAATTGACTTTATATACTCCTTCAAGGAATTTGCATATTTCTCTCTATCCGTTCAACAACTTTTACTTTTTTTTCCCATTCATGTACACACATCAAAACATGCTCTCGTGAAATATACGAAGTATGTACTTCTTACGCCCTAAAATGATTTGCAATATCTAATTTTATTGAATTGATTAAAAAAAGGTTTTTTTATTTACTTGTATAACATATGAATGTTTTATTATACTCCGTATAATTTTGATTAAATGTAGTTTCTTAATATGTAATTTGAGTTGTTAAGAAGTCCGGATTTTGGGCCTCAACTTTTGGGACGGGAACCAACTGTTTTGTACCGGTTCCATTTTTCTTTTTGCATTTGAACCATCAGAAAACTTTTTAAAAGGGTGTGTATACTTACAAATTGAAAGAATGTGGGGCTGAAAAGGGAATGGAGGGTTTCAAATAAATAAAAAAGAGAAAACAGGCAAATAAGTCTTGAACTATTTGTGTTTTTGCAATCAGGCCCCTAAACCGAAAGAAGTACAAATGAGACCAGTATTGGATCGGGGCTGGCAAGGTGAGCACATTTGGCCTAGAGCCGAAAATATAGTTGGGATAATTTGACTTTACACCCCATATTTTGGGTGATATTTGACTTTCCCACCCTATTTTAAAAATCATTAATGTATGCACCCCATTAACACATAAATTGTGAAGGAGTGGGGTGCAAAGTCAAATAATTTTATAGTGAATTAAGGTGCATACATGAATGATTTTGAAATTAAGGTGGAAACTCAAATATCACCTAAAACACGGGATGCAAAGTCAAATTCTCCCTATATAGTTCACAATCCCAGGCTCAATGCATATTTTTTCTCCACGGACTGCCCGACCCAAGACCATAACTGGACCAGTCCACCTATATTAATAAGTTAAATTGGATCAGGACTATTATGATTTTTATATTAGCATATAAAATGAGATAACTGAGGTCGATCATTGAAGTGTCGGACATTAAATGGTAAATTTATTACAGATTATCGGAAGAATATATGTTGGGTTTATCAATTTTCGGCCCATATCCGACTCCGACCCATTGATAGCCCGAATTATAACTGGCAAATTGGCACTACAAAATGGGCTAGATGAAGATCCGAATTTTCTGAATTCGAGCCCGTAATATCAGTAAGCTGCTCAGTATTACAGTATATAACAAGGCCAGCCCCAAATCCCCCAATCAGAGCAGAGCTTAATACTTTTTTTTTTTTTTTTTGAAAGGAGAGCAGAGCTTAATATAGAGTAACATTTTGCAAGAAAATTCGACAATATCTGGGCCGTACAAATGGGCCATAGGATCCAGAAGAAGAATTTGGTACAGCTTAGAACGCGCAAGAGTGGGCCCTGCTTAAGAATCTCTTAATACTCTATTTGACTTTGCCCCTTCGTCGCGTAACTAGTTAATGACGCTCCAATTATTTTCATCGAGATTATTCCGCTGCTTCGATTGATCTTTGCTGATGATGGACCCGAAATTCGCCGGGAAATTCAATCCGGCCCCATACCTATTGGGCCGAGCAGACCTCGACCAGATGCCCGACACACCCACCCGTGGGTCCCGCCATCGCCGGACCCAGTCCGAAACCTTCTTCCGCTTCCCGGAGCTGGACGACGATATCCTCCTCGACGACGTCGTTGCAGACTTCAGCCATGAATCCCTCGCCGCCTGCTCTCTGTCCCCTCCCATGCAGCAGCCGGCCAACTCTGCCGACTCCTCCTCCGCCGCCATGCCGGCGCGATCTCCGGAGCTTGCCTTCGACTATACGCCGGCGACCCATTTCCGGAGCCTTTCTGTTGATTCCGACTTCTTCGATGGTCTGGAATTTGGGGGTTCGTCCTCCGTCGTCAGTGGAGCGGCGACGGCACTCTCATCGGAGAGGAAGCTTATGAGTCCGGGCCCACGCCATAGGCACAGTAACTCCATGGACGGGTCTTTCGGTACTACGTCGTTTGAGGTCGGTTTTATCTCGGAGAAGAAAGGCACGGAAGCTGATAGACTTGCGGAGCTGGCTTTGATGGACCCCAAGAGAGCTAAAAGGTTTGACGGTTTTGACCCTCTCTTATTTTTATTGTTTTACTCCGTATTATTTTCGATATCTACAATTTCTCATAGAAAAAATGACATGTACTACGATGATGTATGAGTTACTGTGTGTGAATTAAGTCACTTTGTATGAGTTACTATGAACTAAGTCACTTTAAATGACGAGTCTCGGTCAGTAAATATGTCACATTTATGAAAATTTTAAAACAAGTCATATTCTTATTTTTCTAGAGCGTGTTTGGTAACATTAAATTTGGCCGATTCTACTGAAATTTATGAA